CTTGGCTTTTCAGAATTCTTTCAGCATTCCAAGTGGAAAGGCGTTAATGTGAATGATTCTGTGCTGGCAAGAACCCACAAAATCTGTGTCAGCAGCTCCGTGTATTTGTCGACTCAGTTCCTCTTGTATATTTATAAGGCATTTGACAAAGGCCTCAGATATTCTGATTCCTGTGATTATCTCCTGAAGGACTGCAARGGTCTCTTTTAATGCTGCTCAAAGAATTTAGGGTGATAAATGATTTAATGCCACTCTGTCAGCCCGTGAGCGATCATTTCACCTGTGCCCTCCTCCGTAATCACTGCACATTAAATGGGGTTTGTGCTGATTTTAGGGTGGACCAACCACCCCATGTACAGTTGTCCCTTCCCATRATAATTCCTATTTTCCAGCTTCCTGCTTTTCCCTCAGACCCTTTAGAGTTGACATATTATGCCCTTAAGGTATTTAAAAATACTTATTAACATACAATATCATACTATTAATTTACAACATCAATTCCTTGCATGAGGTTATGGAAAACACTCAAAATATCACTTCAGTCCTGAAATCAAGGGTGGAATTTGCATCTTACCCTAAATGACCATAGATCACCACCAGACTTCCAAAAACTCCCTGAAATCATCTGATTCATCTCCCAGGTTATGAAATATTGGTGGGGTTTGTTGCAGAGGTGTGTAATGATTTTCTCATTCATCCTAATAAATTGCCTGCTGCTTTTCTCTCCGGGTTTGAAATCCCTTGCTCTGACTTTGTGATGCTGATAATCTCTGTCAGGGAGATTTAAATCCACAATTTAAATAAAATCATTTAAATAAACAGTAACTCCATTAAGCTCATCTGTTTTTACAAGAACGCTGTAATCAAAGTGGAAATACAAAAGCTTCTAAATTAACGTGTAATAAATCATTATCAGAGGCTGAGAGCGGGATCCTTATGAACCTTCAAAGATAATAAACTCAAATTAACCCAAACTCAGTGAGACTGAAAAATTGAGAGTGCTATTTTATTAGAGCAACTCACAGCAAAGGATTCTTGCCTGGTGCTTTCCTGTCCTGACTCTTGTGAGAAAATTGTGGCGATGCTGACATCGAAAAACGAAAACTTTACAAAAAATTTATCACGGCACCACCACTGAGCAGCCCTTCTTAGACCAAAAAACACATCCTTAAAACACGAAGGAGAAAGCTGAGCCTTTCTACCTGGCTCAATCCAAGGAGGAGCAGCTTTGGGTGTTTTTACGTGCTGGGTACTCACATGGTAAAGCGGAACGGTGTTGTTCTCCGCCAGCGAGAAGCTGAGCACGTCCTGCTGCCCCGGCTCCAGCCGGACACTGACGCTGGACGCCAGCACCGAGGGGCTGATGGGGTAACTGGGGTTCCCTGGGGGTTTGCCCTTTTTCCTGGACCTCTTGCCCGTGTCCCTTTTGCTGTCCTTCTGCGTCAGGGGCTCCTCCTGGATCACCAGGATCTTGTCGTCGCTCAGGTACCGCAGCAGCGAATTCTCAGAGTCAGTGGGTGGAGGGGAGAAAAGGCAAGRAATAATAAGTAAGAGGAAACAGCCAGAGAGCTGTTTTGGCTGGCCAGGCACCTATTTGGAT